TTGCTTCTGTGTATTCAATAAGGGCAAGATAATAGCTTCATGCTTGTCTAAAATTTTCCACTTAAGGAATTTTCTGTTTTAGCATTGTTAACTGCCTCTTTATAACACCTACTTAGTGTTGTTCTAAGATTTTTTGATTAAAGTTAATGTTTATTAAATCTTTTTCATGGTGAGGATTTTAAGGAGGGATAGACATTATTCAGGTGGCAAAAGCAGTTTACACCTCCTTCTAAAGAAACTGTATTTTTCACAAGAAGGAAGTAAAAATTCAAACCACATAAACTAATTTGTTTTTTTTTGATCATTTGAAGTACATTTTATCTTCTGAGGTTTAAATGCCTATGCTGACTGAGGATAAATATTTTCTATCATTTCAAAATTGACAAAATTAGAAGTCAATTATCTTTTAAATCCTCTGTAATGAAGTGTATACAAAAGAATTATACAAAATCAACACAGAAAAGAAATTGTCGGATTCTCTTGTGAGTTTCATACCTGCTAGAAGAGTCAGCAGCCTGTGTTTAGAATGAAAACAGTTCCAACTTCTCCAATTTTCTGTTTGGTAAGAGAAAAACCGATTCTAGGCAATCAACTATAGAGTTCACTACTTATTAATTTTCTTCTCTTCACTCAATTACAATTTTAAGTTTCTTCTATTTATCCTAGCTGAAGTTATTAATTTTATCTAAAAAACATCTTTATACCAGAGTCAATCAGTTATTCCTGAAATTGCGTTATTTCAATGAAGCTAACACATATTCTAAAAGATCAGATCCTTTTGCACCTTTTTCAGAGCAGGGCCATGTGAAGCCTAAATAAAACATATTGAAAGAAGATTTTTTTAGTAAGAAAATGCATATGGCCTGTTCATGCTCATTAAATTATTGACTTAGAGTCTGATCTGGACTCCACATTCATTGACATTTCTGTTTGCTTTCTTCAAAGGACAAATAACAGCAATCTTTGTTTAGTAAGGAAAGAAAATATATCCAATCCTTTCCAGAAACATCCTGAACTTCCTAAAATAGGGTGAATGGACTATGGGGAAAAACTCCTAGCTCTTGGACAAAGAAACAACTAATTCAAAACAGGTTTAAATAAGGGCAGCCATAAGGCATTGGGTTGGAAAGAGGAAAAGGAAAAGAAAAAATTGTTTTGTGTTTTAACAGAGTTTAGGAGATTTCTTTCAAGTCTAAAAACCACAACCAAAAGGACATAAAGCTTAACCAAAGTAACAGCACTATGATTCCTGGAAAAGAATCAAGACATTTTTTTCAACAAAATGATCAGTACATCTGAGGGGTCTACTATAGCAACAATCCTATGATATTTGTATTGATGTTGCAATATAAAGCAGTGTATATATTGGACCAAAGTCATGCTAAAAGAAGGCAACACAGCACATGGTTGACCACAGAAAAGTTGTTTTACTGTGTAAACTTTTATTAATAACAATACAGATACATATCATCAAACTGACACGATTTAAGATGAAGTAATTATTCTCACAGTTTGGTTTTAATAATTTACATGATTAAGTGATTCCATTTTGAGTCAATTTCTTAGCAAACAAGAATGTCAAATTAATGTAGTTCACATTACAACTAAAAAAACCATAATTTTATGTGAAATTTTAAATGAAATCTTTTCTAAAGATTCAAGGGAACCACGATATTGTGCATGGATACAAATGCATTCATGCTAAATGCATAAGGGACATATTACATTTCATCTGAAAAATATGATGTCTATAAAACCATACAAACAACTATTCAGAAATATGATAGCTTCTCATTTACTCTGTAAATATCTAAAACATTTGTAAAAAAGAATACTTCTCTGAATTTTGATAGCAATCTATATCAGAATTTCCAAATTAATGGAACAAAATAGAAAAAAAGTACTTGAAACCATAAGTTATATTTAGGTATTTGTCAAGAAGCCAGATTCCATGGGTTTTGAATATCTGACCCTTTGGCATCTTCCCACATAATCAACCCTTTAACCCAGACTTGGAGTAAAGGGAATAACAGTATTTTTTCCCTTCTCTGTTTAACTTGGCTTAACTTTCTGTAGAAACTCCTCTTTCCCACAGCCTAATTCCAAACAAATTGTAATGTTAACAATACCCTAACTGTGGTTAACTCAGTCATTTTGCCAGTTAAGCTGATGAAAGGCCAACATTAGATATTGTTTCCTCTTTAAGTGAGAAAATAATTAAAAATTTCAACCTAACATTGACCTGTATTCTTATTAGTGAATTTCCTTTTTTTCTCCTCCCACTGTACTTCAGCAAAAATTCCCAGTCATAGGGAGATCCTAACAAAAAAGCCATGAGGGAAATGATACCAAAGGACCTAGAAAAATATATCTTTTGCCTTCATAAGTAACAAATAGGTAATAGAATGCTAGAAAATGAACCACAGATAAACCTTTGAAATGATAATTTTTCCAGAGCAAATTTGGAAGGGTTAAATGCCTTGTTGCTTTTTTGTAGGCCTTAGAGAGAAAATATAAGAAATAATCATGTTCTCTAAATCAAGAGAGAAAAAAGTGAGGAATTTATCTGTGATGCTTTTGGTGGAAATTAAAGAATAGCTAGGGGTTGAAGAAGCAAGACAATCTAATTCCACATAAGAGAATTGAACATGACACTATGGGGGGATGGGTTATTTCAGCTTTGCTCCAGGTTTGCTTAGTTCCTTTGATAGAATAGCAGCAACCAGAATATATGTCAAAAGTCTCCCTTAATGGGACAAGGGGCGGTGCGGGTGGGGGGGGATTCTGGGATTGCAGATCTGCTAGAGGCAACACTGGGCAAACAGCTGGCTAGTCTCTGTGTCAGCATTTTCCAGGCTGGGGGTCAGTGGAACACTAAAGCCCCATAAAACATTCAGATGTGTCCACAGTGTGTGGGTGAGAGGTTGCGGGTAACTGTGTTAGTGATTACATCTGAGTTAGAAATGCTATTCATTTATTAACGGTTTGAAATTTCACTGTGCTAAACAAATGCTTTAACTTTGTTTAATCCAACTTTTCCCAAATTTACTTCTCTGTCCCTCCCCATGTACACACACAGAGACACATACACACACCAAATCCTTACAGCCTATAGGACATAGGTGACGGCGACGTGCAAAAATACATTTCAGTAAATGGTGATCTTCATCATTGCCAGTTGTCTGAACCACGATTGAGTGTATTGGTGAAGAAGGAGGGAAATCCTAAGGACTTTGTGAATCTCAGGATGTATTCAGTGGTCTACCGCTATTGATGAAGGCTAAGGAAAAGCTCAAAGTCTAGTTCTCATTTTCAGGAACCTAAAAATGAATCATGTAGCAGCTTAACTTTCAACCATTTAGAGTACTCTATGCTGAGTGGCAGAGAAATGGAATCTCTTCCATCTTTCTCGGTATCCAAAGCAGATATCTGGCATTCTTACTCAAGGTTGGGTAGTCATAGAGACCCAGTATTTAAAGATTTTTCTTTCTTTCTTTGCTTATCTAGTTAATTGACTTTAAGATCTCCTCTAGAGCATCAGATATTTTATATAACTGCAGTTCCTCTTCTTTCCCAGAGAAAATTAATTTTCCCAATTTAGATAGAATTGTAAGAGCAAAGCTCGACTCATTTCAGTTATGAACGCTCTTAAATGAAATTGATGTAAGTGGCAATTCTGTTTCATACAGTACATAAAAATGCAAACAGACCCTGGAAAGATTTATTTGATAAGCCTTGTCTCTTCCTATACTGTGTAGGATGGAATAAATGTCTGGAGAGGGTAGAATTGGAAGGATACTGAAGATATAGTACAAGAAAAAGTGTAACTCATGAAACCTTTTGAAGGACGACTCTGATTTGGAATTGAAGTATTTTATTGCTCAATCCTGTGGTCTCCAAGAGAGTTATAAAATAGCATAATTGTAAGCCACTGTTTTTGGTCATTTTATTTTCTATGTTATCCCTACATTCTGAAGATCCAAAATGTGGCTGGGAAATGGGCAATCCTGATCCTAGCAAGAAAAATATCCACTCTTTATTGCTGTCAGAGGAAGTCAGGAGAACCACACTTAAATAATGTCTTTCTACACTTAACATCATGACCTGAATATAGCAATTATTTAATGATGCTGTTAAAATTGTATTCATGTCAAAGTTAAGGGAGTCCTCACTCACATTACTGGAAGATACTAGGAGCCTACTCAGTATGAAAAAAGAAAATAAGGCGCATGTAATGAGCATTCATTTAGTAGACAGGAGTCTTGAATATTAGTCCCTGATTTGTTTCTTCATTAGCTCTATGACTGTGTAATCAAGTCAATTAATCTTTCTGACATTCTGATACTTTATTTCTAACCTAGAGATAATAGCATTTCCTATCCTGTAACGTGGTTTTGCGGAAATTTCACCATGATGAAGCATATTTTGAAAAAGGCAAGTTGCTATATTTCTTTAAGATAGTGTTAAATCATAGCTTTTCGACAAATTTAGAACCATACAAAATGGCACTTTTTCCTTTTTCTCCTCATTATATCTCTTTGACTTAGTTTGGTTAAATAAGAGCACAATGTTTAAAATATTCAGTTCTCAGAAAAAAAGCTTTTAAAGGAAGCAAAGAATTTGTTGAGTCTCAAAAGTCTTCAAACTTATTTCTATATGTGTAGTATCCTGGGTCATTAAATGATAACTGTCATGCACAAAAACAATTTACTGTTACAAAAATTAGGCTACGACCCGGTGGCACAGCAGTTAAATTCGCACATTCCGCGTGGGTGGCCTGGGGTTCACCTGTTTGGATTTCAGCTGCGCACCTCTGCACTGTTTGTCAAGCCATGCTGTGACAGGTGTCCCACATATAAAATAGAGGGAGATGGTCACTGATGTTAGCTCAGGGCCAGTCTTCCTCAGCAAAAAGAAGAGGATTGGCTGCAGAGGTTAGCTCAAGGCTAATCTTCCTCAAAAAAAAGAAAAAAATTGGCTATTCCTAAGCTACCAAAAAAAAAAAAAAAAAAAACTTGGCTAGTTTTACTAAGTTATTATACACAGAGCACCTACAAGACCCTTAAACAAGTTTCTTTAGCTTCAAATATATTTAAAATTTTGTGTGGTAGTATACATATATATATATCATCTATATATTAAAGCTAATATATAGAAGCTAATTAAATATATTATATTTATTAAGCTAATTTAATGCCAAAAGCATCCCACTGAAAAGTAAGCATTCCATGCTAGATGCAGAGATTTTTAATGTTAGTTTGTTTGATAAACTTCAAATTTCACAATTTGTAGAGATAAAGAGATTACTACTTATTCCATGCCTGGAATTTTTGTGTAGTGAATTTAAATTATAGAAACTAGTCACAGGTAAATCATATAATTAAGATATTTTCCATAGATACCGTTCATCCCTTCATTCGTTCACATACCTGTATTTATTGAGGACCTACCATGTGCCAAGCACAGTGCCAGGTGCTAAGAGTAGAATAGTGAACCTAACAGACAGACTAGAAGCTCCATGAAGCTATGGAGTCTACTCTGTGTATATAGTCACATATGTTGGCCTTTCCTGTCAAGAAATTAACTGAAAGAATCAATGTTTCCTTTTAGTGTTTGCTGGATTTTAGATTCTGTGATTTGATAACATCATTTTTTTAATCTCCTTTGGACTTTGGACTTTCTTTGCTTCAAATTAATTCAAAGTATATTTGAAACATAAAAGCAAACAACATCTTTTTATGGAATTGCTAAAAGCGCTGTTTTATGAATTTGTTGACAGCTGTGAAATTTGCTAACCATTTCTCACACAACATGGCTGATTTATCTGTAGCAATGGCAAAGGAAGAAAATTAAAGATATTCTATATTTATTCATATTGCCTCTAAAGCCCTATATGACCAAAACATGATTTCTGATGGAAAAAAAGAGGTCTGCTAAAACATGTCAAGAAAACTAATCAGTACATCAATGACAATTTTCATACACTAGATGAGCATATTTCCTTAATCCCAGGCAAGGAGTTCTCAGATATCAAAAGTTTTCCACTGTTTAGGTATCTAGAAGGACTAGAAAATATGGTAGCAATTTGTGGAGGTTTTTCTGGTGTAATATAACTTATATTACTTGTGGTGTTGGTACAAAGTAGGAAGATAATAGTAAAAACCCATCACGTTATTATTTAATGAGTGGAATTCATTCTATTCATTTCAGTGTCTACAATGCTTTCCTTCTCCACCTTCAATCATCCCACTCCCATCAACACACTTTGTTACGTATTTGGTTGACTAACCCTAACTGTGCCGTGTTTGATCTTCTCACATTTCTCCCCATGACATTTGTACCCCACCTCTCATACATTTACATTCTATCTGCAACTTACTTTAAAGACCCATAGGTAATTTCAGATTATTGAAATTTGTCAGTATTTATGGCCTTCTTTAATTCACCAATTACTCATTCCCTGATCCCCTACAATGTAATGTCTAATCTTCCACAGGCTATTGAACTTGACCATCCAAGTTCCATCGATGACCTCTTCATCTTTAAATATAGCTCCTCCTCCATCCTTGCTACCCCCAGTACTACCTGCAGAAGCTAATATCTGTCTTAGCACCCAGAAATAATATGAAATAACCCTGTGCATCAGAGAAGGTGCTTTGTTTCAAGCAACAGAAACCAATGCTGGCCATCTTAAATAAGAAAGAGACTTTTTAGAAGAATGAGGGGACTCATGGTCAATGAGAAGCTGAGGACCTGGCCAGGAAAACTGTCAAGAACAAAGGGACCTTGGCAGTAGGATCCATGTACTGCCAAGTTCTTGTAGCTGGAGCAGTCTGACGTTCTCACCCTCTAGATGCCTCGCTTAGTTCAGTTTCCAAGCTTCTTTGAATAGGAGTCAAAGCCTTACTTATTCAAGTAAGAGTCAAAGTCCTAAACACAGCATCTGATTGGACAAGCCAAATACATCTCCGTGCTTCCTTCCACCTGTTGTCCTGGCTATTTCCACAGAATCTCTCCACTCTTGGTTTCCAGGAAACTATATCACTGTTATTCAGAGAAGGAGAAAACCTTTGGCTGCATCTTCTCTGCTTCCTTTGCTAGAAGTGGTAATTGTGGCATAGCCCCCTTTCATTTGTCTATCTCCATATTTTCTCTTCAGAGTCACACTCAATGCTCAAAGAATACCTCTCCCAATCTACATCTTTCATCAACCTTGCCTTTTCTTCTTTTTTTTAAGCTCCACTGCCTTCTGGATATTTCCTCTTTCATGAATTACTGTCATCCCAAATTTTAAAAGTTTAAGTCTAAATTTATAATCTTCCCTCTCGTCTCTCCAAAAAACCTTAATGCCACATTATCCCAGGTGCATACATCAATTAGCCTTCTACCAGGCTGAAAACTTTGAGTTATTTTTAATTCTCAGTAAATTACTGCTCTAGTTCCTATGTTCTCTTCCAACTCATCCATCTGAGATATCAGTTTATTTAATTTAATATCCATTAGTGACCCCATGTGCAGAATGCCTGGATGCTGCAACAAGTTCACTGATGGGCTTCATTTAAAATGTCAGTAACAGTAATTCCAACGAGGTTCAGAAACTATTTGAGAAATGGGCACTGTTAATAGAAAGAAAGACAGAGAAGGAAAATAAAGAAAGGAAAGAAGGAAGGAAGGAAGAAAGAAAGAAAGAAAAAGGAAGAAAGAAAGAAAGGAAAAAGAGAGAAAGAAGTAAAAAGGAAAGAAGGGAAGGGGCAGAAAAGAAAAGACAGGATGGTATAAATAAATGAGAACTAAATAAGAATTGAAGAGAAGCTAGGTTCTACAAATTTTTCCTAGTGGAATTTTGTCACAGGATCTCCATAGCCTCAGGCTAAAATCTTTGACCTGGTTCTGTGTGTGTGTGTGCTTGGGTAGAGTATTAAAGAAAAAACCTAAAAGGCAATGGGCTAAAATGTAAATGAGATGTTCAAAAATGAAAGTAAAATATATAAACTATTCTTTCAATGTTTTCAATATATTTGATAGTGAAGGGAAAACATTTAAGTAGCGGCAAGAGGAGGGTAGAGATTGGAAATAAATATTCATTGAAACGCTATTGCATGTATGACACTATGCTAGAGAGTCAGAGATATATAATGCAAACATGGACCTAAAACTATGCTGTGATTTTAAGACAAAATGAGAATTATCATAATTCTAAACCAAAATCATACTGCCTAACATCTTTGATAAAAACAGACTATATAATAAAGAAGAATAAAGAAGAGAGCAAGTACATTGGCCAGATTAAGGAAGATGGCGATTCACCAGATCTCCTTGTAACACTTCTGTAGGTTTGCCTGAAATTGGCTGACCTCCTCACTATCTCACACTTGTGATCCAAGGATAAGTTGTCCTTCAAGGCTAGTGGAGTTGTTACTGGGCATGATTACCACAATGAAATTGGACACATTCAAGGGACTCATAGGACAAAAATATAGTCTAAGCTATAATTTATTACTAAAACTTTTCACAGAGCAAATGTGTGATAACAGAAAGTGAGACTGGTGCATGTTAGAAGTCAATGATAGCAAACATTTTCCTTTTGGTGTTCCATCTGTCATCACAGCAGAGAAAATTTCCCAGTACCATTGTCGTTCACACAGCTCTGAAGCTGAAAACTTTCAACAATATTTGGGGAGGTGAGAACTGATTTGACTACTTTTTCTTTATTTATTTACCATTCATTCGTACAACATAGCTATTGCATAACATTTGTGCACTAGGGACTAAGACATAGGAATAAAATGATGAAGAGGAAAGAAATGGGCCATACCCTCACAGAGTTGACCATCTAGTAGGGGACACAAGAAATAAACAAACAATTATGATGCAGTGCATTGAATATTATTATTACAGGAAGCACAGAGTTCTACAGAAACACAAGAGTTGCACCCAAAGAGTTATTAGAAATGGATTATGAAGAGAATAAAATTTCAGCTGAGACAATAGACAGGAGTTAGCTGGGCAAAGAGGGAGAACTTCCAGGCAGATGTATCAGCCAAAGTAGGCTAAGTTATGCTGAGATAACAAAAAAGAGCTCCACATCTCAGTGGTTTATACCTACAAAGGCTTATTTTCCCTTCATTCTGTCTGTCCTTTATGGACTGGGTGAAGCTCTGCTCCATGTCTTCTTTCTTAGGACACTAGTTGATAAATTGTCCTCCATCTGGGACACTGCCTGTCTTGTGGCAGAAGAAAGATATCATGTTGAAGCACACAGCGGCTTTTAGAGCTATTATCCAAAAGTGACACATGCCACTTCTGCTTAATTTCACTGGGCAAAACAAAACATGTTGCCAAATCTACAGGGAAAGGATCTACAATCTCCCAATGGGCAGGGAGGGACGCCACGTGGAGAAATGGACCCAATAGTAGAAGAATGAAACCACTTATTGATGATATAGACAAAGGAATGGACCCAACACAGAACTTCGTACAGCATAAGGCTGGAATTACTTTCAATATAGCTTGAGCTGAGATGACGAGGCAGAAAGTGATAAAGCATGAAACTGAGTCAGTGAACACAAGCCAGATTAGGCAGCCTCTACAGGCCACATTATCACAAACATTTGGGTAGCCATTGATGGCTGACTGGTGTGTGGAAACTAGATTGGACAGAGGCCAACTTGCATTCAAGAGGGCCACTTAGAAAGTGTGCACTTTAATCCAGGTGAAAACTCATGAGACCTGAATAAAGGCGGTAGGAACAGAAAAAGCCAATGAGATTTAAGAGTTGCTTGGAAAATTGAATCAGCAGTGATTGGAGAATGCCTGTACATGAAGGATTAACAAGGAAAGAAGTAAGGATGCAACCCAAGTTCTGTTTAGTTTCAGTAAAGGGTGGTATCAATCCCAACACAGAAAGGGGTCACGTTTCAGAACAACATGGTAAATTCCATTTGGGGCATTTTAAGTCTGGCGCTCCTGGAAGGCATTCCAGTAAAAGTGTCCAGTGGGTAGGTATACATTTAGGTCTAAAGTTATGGAAGAAAGGAAATCTGACCCAGAGATATAAATATGGGAGTCAGCAGACTATAGATTGTAAACTAAGCTAACGAGTGACTCATGTGACCCAGAGCAATAGCATGAAAGGAGAAAGGATAAATAGGTCATGCAGCACGACTCTAAGACTTTTCCTGTGAAGAGGGTTTCTATGGCTTTTACTAAAAACATATATCCCTATACTTTCATTACTCTGTCGGTGAAGGAAGGGCATTCACTCTTAAAGAAGACTCACAGGTTGTACTTCCTCAGGATATCCCAAAGCACTCAACATAAAGTGGTCAGAAGAACGAGTAAGTGGTGAGTCAGACAGTTTGGGTTTTGGTTCGCAGCTTTGCTCACAGCAACCATGTGTCCTTGGAAAACCCCCATGTCTTAGGAGTCTCCTTTGTAAAACAGGAGTGTGAATACCTCTACTCCATCCTGAATGAGGGCCTCAGGACTAGCAAAGCTGAATGATATAGGCGAAAGCTCTTTGGATACTGAAAAGTATCTTTTAACTACAAGTTGGTATTATAGTGTTCACTCTAGGAGAGGAAATTCCTAACTCTATTTTGAGGTCTCATAAAATATGGAGAAAATAGAAAGTCCTTTGCCAAACCTCATGAAAGCAAAATTGACAACATTTCTGACGTGACTCATTCTTCCTTTGAAAACCTGCTATCAGATAAGGGTCAGCTCCTTTTAAATAGAAACTTAAGAAAAATAAAATTTTCAAGAAGTCTTTCTGGAGTGAGACTGTTGTTTTTCACGTGGTTCATTTTGGAAGTGTCTGTTACTTATACATGAGTCATTCTATGGCCCTAACCCTAATCTTTGCATTTTTCCCTTCAGGAAGATACATTTGAATGGTGACAAAATAGTTAAATTTTCCAATTATGTCAACAAATTCTCAGTGATCTTTCTTGTGGAGCTCTCAGCCTTAACCAAAAGCTCTGAACTTCCTTATGGTTATAAAAAAAATTAATTCCAGAAAACTTGTCTAGAGATGTGAAACCAAGAATTAGAGTGTTTATACCGCCAATGGCCCAGTGAATGTGTTCCCTATAACTTACATTTTCAGACAGTAATTATGATCTTCTTTTCAACAATTTTTATTTATTTAGATTAGAGCCAACCTTCACTGTCATTATTTATGTGCTTTGTTCTTTTAACCTCCAATTTAAAAACACTGTAGTACCCACCATCCAAGGAGTTTATAAAAATTTTGGACTCTTGGTTGTATGTCAGTTTTATTTTAAATATTGTGTCAAGAGTAGGACTTATGCTTTCAACCTACTATAACCTCTTCATTTTATTTTCACAACCAAAAAGCGCCCCAAACATGGAAAGATTATGAAAGTCATCAAATACCAAAGAAAGTACTGACTATGATTTAGAGAGGAAAAGAAGTAAAACCTTCACTACACATTTGATTAAATTTAAGTTTTGGAGAATAAAATAAATATATATTCACGGACACATAAATAATAGAATTTTTTTTGTCTTTGCAGTTCATTTCCAAGCTATATTAGCTCTAGGGATAATAAATATTAGATATATGGGCCATCACTCACTACTCCCACTCTAAACACCACTAACCTATTGTTAGACACTTTCTCAATGAGTCCTCAGAATCTTTCTCAACACAATGCTCCAGGCAGCCACTTCCAATCACTTAGAATTGGCAAAGAAGATGAAACCTGTTTGCTACCTGAGGCCAACAATCTAGATAGGTGATAAATATCAATAATCACCCAAATGTATTTCGTCCTACTTTATCTATAGTAGATATATCTTGTATGTAAATTTTATCTTTGAGTGTAAAGAAATCTTCTTATAACTTAATTTGTGCTATAAGCATCAAACCTACAGGCAACTGTCTATTTTCATTTCTGGGTATTAACACTACATGTGGAATACTAAATTATTACTGTCCTACCAGTACTCTCTCTGTCACTCTTCACTACCATCCAAAAACATTGAAGTGTTTGCAAATTATTAATCACTAAATGCTCATTTAGCAATTATCACTACGCTCATTTCAAATAAACTGTTCATTTAGGAAGGGAAGAGTATGCTGATTTTAAATCTTACGCAAACTTTGATCAATTCCATGACTACAAGCCTATTTTTTATATATCTCAGCTAATCTTTTCATTACTGTTTGTAAAGCAGTAACAAAATGGACATTTATTATGCACTAATGTGGAAAGTTATCATTATTCTTCTAGAATACATCCTTTTGCCTCTTATTGAAAGGCATTTTCCTCTTTTTTACTTTTTTTTGGACTCTTCCAAATGAAACTCCACTAATTGCGTTGTAAAGTCACACCATGTAGCTTTTGAGATCATGCAGATGTGTGTTGACAAAATAGCTATTTCAAACTTTGTACATGGCTTTGAACAGAAAGTGTTTTAATGACTAAGAAAGGAGATTTGTTAAAGAAAATGAGTTGACGGTAAGCAGCTGTTTCTGTTTTAAACATTCCATCTGTTGGACCACATTTTATATCTGTCCCCTTTTAAGTCAGACTTCAACAGATTCATCTTAGTCATTATTCATCTAATAGTAAATGTCTGGTAGGGTACAGTTTTGGTATTTATAATAAGCTGGTTGGTGAGAATTATATTGCACCCCTGGCTGGGCGCCTTTGGCAATTTTATTGTAGTGCACAGTTCTTAGCTGACAGCAAGAAATAGATTTCCAACTGCTATGGAAAAATGCAATAATATCTCATTGTCTATAGCACTATAATGTGAGCTCTTAAAAATGCAGTTCCTGTAAAAGCACATCTGAAAATATTGGCTTCAGAAGTGTGTCTTGTACCAACACGTACATCTCTTTGAAGAGAGTCCACATTTAAACCTCACTTTAAATCAACTTAAGTCCTTGCTATGAAAATCTTCTTATGGCTATTTATAAAAGGATCTTTATGTAAAAAAGAAAATACTAATAATACACATAAATAGGTATTTGTTGACTTTTTTGTCATACATATGATATATTTGTGATAATATAGTAATTAAAACATATTTAGACTATTTACATAAATCACTGCTTAAACATCTGAATAAATAGGCTGATACATTAACTAATTCACTCACTACTAAGTGATTTCTATTAGCAATATTTCTTAAAAATATATACGCCTGTTCTCACATATAAGCAACAGTTTGACCCTGTAACACATTCCTCTTCTCCCACTAGATTTAGCGATACAGAGACAGTAAGGTACAATCTCCACTTTCAAGGAGTTTATAGTTTGGTGGAGCTTAAAGTCAAATAATCAAAGCGTCAAAATACTTGTTTTGAGCAAGATTCATTCATCTGTTTAATTTGTTGACAAAATAAATTAAACAAATCAGCCTTTTGTAAAGCAATTGCGTAGGGAGAACTTTATAGATTCTACTAGAGAAAACATGCTCCCACCCCAGAAAGGCTCACAATTCATGAGCTGGATAATAGCACTTTCAATCTCTCTTGAATAATTGCATATTTCAAATGAAAATTAAAATGACTTATGCCATAATTGTGTGGCATTGATCAGCACCAGAGAACTTAAGAGGTCTAATTTCCATGATTCAAGCATTTTGGTTGAGGAAAATGTGTGTTCCCTCTCTCAGAACCAGAAAGCAATGATTTGAGGTTTTCTAAATTAATTATATGACATACTGTAGAGATTTTATTAGATAACAATAGAACTAGTAAAATGTCAGTACATAGCAATCATTTAAACAAACAGCTATTTAAAATTTAAGTGAAACGTCTTAATATATTTACAGATATATATGAGTAGACTATAGTCAATAATTTGATTTCTTCTCGAGTGATATTCTCATCAATAAATCATGGAAAACTAGTGGATGAACTTAGAACTGTCTGTAATCCAATATTGGTAAGTGAATGGTCAGTAACCTGGTACTGACATATCACGCCATACCCGAGGAGGGCCCCCAAAGACTCCATGTACAACCATAAGTTAAACTGCACAGTTGAATGGTACATGTGCCTGGTATTCCTGGAGTTGTGCACTGCACAACTTTGCACACTACTTGGCAGGCCTAAGAGCCTGTCAATAGCTTGCTATTAATGTTCTGATCAATAGTTTTGATGACAGAAAATGAGACAGAACAACCATGATACTATTTTCACTTTTATGTCAAGATTGGCCCTAATAAAATGTCCTTAAGTTGCTAAGAGGTCTACTCTGTCCCATGTTTCTCCCATTCAAAGTGACTGTATCTAATGAGACAGAAATTCTCAACTGTGGTTTGTCAAGATCAATTGTTAAGTGTGTTCAAAATGTTACCAATTTTAGCAAAACACTCAAGTATGTGCAAGAGTTGCTTGAAAAATTAATTAGAGTCGATTTAAGGTTATCCCTATAATGGTATCACTCGCATTTTCATCTCAAAGTGTTTTCTTGAATAGCAGGTAAGGAATGACATCACAATAAGCACCCATGGGACTCCATTGATCTGCACCCTCTCTTGTGTATAGCACAGTCCTTAACAGAGGTGGACCCTGGGAATGGGTGGCTTGGTGCACACCATTTTCTGTGTCTGATGGACAAAGGAAGAACATCTCTACTCTTAAGAATGAATTGGACTCTCAAACACAGACTAGTCAAGGGAAGTTCAGACTTTTGTTTGAGAATGGGAAAGTGAAAAAACCTTGAGACCCAGAGTCAAGGGCAGCAGGGTTGCACTGGCAGCTGTTTCTGACCGGACTCAATGTTCTCTTTGGCAACCTTCCCATGATTATTTCAAGGTGGGAGTCCTCTGCTAACTGGGCCACTCGCCTCAGTTAAAGCCTAAAGGGAACAAATTCAATGTCAAAGTTCTAATTGTTGAGTGACTACATAAGCTTTATTAAATTCATCCATTCAATAAATATTTATTAATTCCTAATGAATAAGACATGGTCCTTGTCCTCAAAAACTTCATCATCCAGTAGTACTGATGCAGGTAAACAAAATATTGCAATATTGTTATCCTAAGTCCTAAATACATATATGAGCAAAATAGACAAGAAACACGTTCAACTTTTGTTCAAGGTTTTGGCATCGAAAGGGGAGATCTCACACATGAGAGGAGATTAGAGCAGGCAAGGAGGTGGGATTCAACAGAATGTCAATACTACTCTTGGCCTCTCTAATCTCTGGAGTACATGAAGAAGAAATCTCCATAAAGGGTCTGCAAGAGGCTGAGGCTGGGGCTTCCTCACAATAGAGTCAACTTTACCTGCATCCTAGAGGTGGCAAGGCCTCCTGGGAAGAAGTACCCATTTATAAAAGGGGAGAGTACAACAGGGGTCCAAAGCGGATATGGAGATAATGGAATATATCTCCGATTCCTCCCTGGACCACCATGCTTTTAAACACAGATAAAAGTCAGAGAAACTTGTTCTTATACGTTGCTGAGGCCACTCTTTCTTTCTCCCTGCAGTCTCCACACCAGCTACACTCATCTCCTTTCAGTTCTTCCAACATATTATATTTTGTATCCTCAGGACTCTTGCATATACTGTTCCTTCTGTCAGGAACACTTTTCGTTCCCCAACACTCCATTCAATTCCCATGAACACGTCACATCTCAGCTTCAACTTCCCTCCCTCTGGGAAGTTCCCTGACCACATCTCCACCTGTGAAGATCAGATTCCCCTTTATAAGTTTTCATACTTCTCTGTACTCTCCTTTCATAACACTTAGGATATTTTTAATTATATGTGACTATTGTTTCCCATCTCACTAACTATAGAGGAGTGGGCAAAATGTTAAACTACTTTGCTTCTACCATTGTATTTTGTTAATGTGTATTTGGTCTAGACTTTACTTAATAAATAAAAATATATGGTTGAATCAATTTGAAAAAGTTATCACTGACACACTCCTTTGATGTGTCTCCTTCAGTGATATCCTCCATTTCTGAATCTCAGCGTGGAATACTCAAACCAGATGTTTTAGTTCCTTTCCATTGCACTCTTATTCTATAATTTCAAATACCCAAATGAAAATGATCTTTGCTTTTTCAAGAGTAGGACTTAAGGGAAAAATCCTTAGTGTCCACTTTTTCATCTTTGCTGTTCCTTTGATATATCTAACTTGGCAGTTATAAAAATTTTCTTCTGAGAAAGAAAAGACCTCTGAGCCACAGGCCCTTCTAATGTGGGACATAGGAAATTTCTGTTATAAACAGAGGAAGTCAGATGTTTCCTTTTCCATAACTTCTAAGAAAATTATTACTGCTAACATCTATTCTCACCTAAGAATAAAAGTAATTTAATACACATCCAAGAAAATTCCTCATCACAGAAATTGATTTGCTCCATCTAGAGAAACAAATGTTAAACAACATTCTCAACTTGATGGGGATATTTGCTGTTTGTACATAATATAGACAAGTATACTTTAGTTATTGATGAATCTATACCATTTGCTGCTAATGCAAAGACATGACTTTATGTTTACCAAATATCTGAATGTCATAGTGATAACTGGATAGTGAGTCTTTCTAGCTGGAACAGAAGGTATTAAAGTCAAACACTAGCACAGGATTTTACAACAGTGGATTCTTGAGACTTCCCATATAATTGTTGTCCAAATTTAACACCTTTGAGAGTTCAAGAGGATACCAGGAGTAATTGAAATTATATAACTTTTGAAAGGTTTATTTTTTTCTAATAAGACAGTTTCAGTATACTGTGAATATATATTTCTTTTCAAAATATGTCTATTTTCAAAAACATTTTCTTCTCAAAATAAAGTTAACCTATCTATATAAATTAAAGCAGAATGATATTTTAATCATTTTTATATTGATTATCTTGAATATAACATAAACACAACTTTTAGTTTTAACCCTGACATATAAGAGTTCGGAAGTTTTCACTTCCATCTTTATAAGAAAAAAAAGCTAAACAAACTGAAAATCAACCACTTTTTTGGACCCACCAGGGAACTGAGGTAACATGGAAAACTATAATCCGAAATCTGGAAAGAGAGGAGAATCCAGAGAGTAACAGCTAAGATCTGCTTACCAACAGTAGAAGTCACTGGCGACATACACTGATAGGAACATTTCAATGATAATTTTGATGAATTTCTGGATGGTGAGAACGGACTGGGTTAGAACGAGAAACTCCTGGAGGCCACAGCCTTAGAAGGGTCCCCTCACTTTGGTGGATTTTACTTCCAGGAATCCTGTCAGGTCATGGTGAAGATCCAAGAGAAATGTCCTCCTGTCTCTGATAGGGAGAGAGAGAAAAAATCGTTGTGAAATATGCCTTCTGTCTTCTCCATAACAAAAGCCTACTCTCCAGGGAAAGAGTTTTACCAGAATCTCATTTTATCTGGGAGAAGGTCATTCCTCCCACTCCAATCTTCCTGGATAACCTAAGAGAGATTAAAAGCTATGCCACTGGAGAAATACTTGAAAAAGTCACATCTAGGAGTCATAGGCCCATTAAAGACTGAGATTTAATCATAGGGTTATAGAACACTTCCCATCTCCCACGCTTTACTACTATACCAACAGGGTTCTTGTACAACAATAGTAGATTACAGTTGAAGTTGTTGCAAGATGCAGACTCTCTCTGAGGAGGAGTACTTAGGGAAGCCCAGAGTCAAGAGAGGAGATACAAACATGAAGACTAAAGAAATTTGAAGCCTCTGGTACCTATAGCTAAAGCAAACATCAATCACAGTCCAATGCATATCATAACATAAATCCTCACACTAAAGGCCTATTTTCCTCAGTTTCTATTACCCAATACAACATGTCCAGCTTTCTACAACAATTACAAGGCATGCCAGAAGGCAAGAAAAAACACAGTCTGAAGAAACAAGTAAAGCATCAGAAGCAGACTCAGCTGTGACAAAGATGTTGGAATTATCAGACCAGGAATTTACAAGAATTAACATTAATATGTTAAAGGCTCTAATGGAAAAAGTGGACAACATGCAAGAACAGATGGGTAATGTAGGCAGAGAGATGAAAACTCTAAGAGAGAATCAGAACATAATGGTAGAAATCAAAAATAGTGCAACACAATGAAGAATGCCTTTACCTGACCCATTAGTGGAATAGGACTCAGCCAAGGAAAAAATCAGGGCGCTTGAAGATAAGTCAATGAAATCTTTACAAACTGAATGTAAAGACAAAAAAAAAGTTAAAAAACAGGAGCCACTGTGGCCAAGTGGTTAACTATGCATGCTCCGCTTTGGTGGCCCAGGGTTTCACCAGGTTCGCATCCTGGGCGCGGACATGGCACTGCTCATCAGGCCATGGTGAGGCGGCATCCCACATGCCACAACTAGAAGGACCCACAACTAAAATATACAACTATATACTGGGGGGATTTGGGGAGAGAAAAGCAGAAAAAAAAAAAAAGATTGGCAACAGTTGTTAGCTCAGGTGCCAATCTTTAAAAAGACAAAACAAAAACAGGGGCCAGCCCCATGGCCAAGTGATTAAGTTCGCACACTCTCCCCCAGGGTTTTGCCAGTTCAGATCCTGGGCACAGACCTAGCACTGCTCATCAAGCCATGCTGAGGCAGTGTCCCACATAGCACAACTAGAAGGACCTGCAACTGAAATATACAACTACATACTGGGACCTGCAATTGGAATATACAACTATGTCCTGGGAAGCTTTAGGAAGAAGAAGAAGAAGAAAAAAGATTGGCGACAGATGTTAGCTCAGGTGCCAATTTAAAAAAAATAAAAAGAATAAAGAAACAGAATAGAACATTCAAAAACTATGGAAAGCTTTCAAAAGGTATAACATACGTCTAATTGGAACACTAGAAGGAGAAGAAAGAAGGGAGCAGGAGAAATATTTGAAGTAATAATAATTGAGAACTTTCCAAAATTAATGACAGATACCAAAACCACTGATCCAGGAAGTTTAGAGAACATCAAGCAGGATATATATCAAAAGAGCAACATCGTAGAATGAGTTAGGAGGTGTTCTTTCTGCTTCTATTTTCTGAAAGAGATTGTGGAGAATGGTCATCAGTTATTCCTTAAGTGTTTGGTGGAACGGACAAACTATGGTCCACTAACATAATGGAACACTATTCAACAATAAAAATTAATGAGCTATCAAACCAAAAGTGATATGGATGAATCTTAAGTGCGTATAGCTAAATGAAACGTCAGTCTGAAAAGGCTACATATTGTGTGATTCCAATTATACGACATTCTATAAAATGCAACACTCTGGAAACAGTAAAAACATCAGTAGTTTCCAGGGGGAGAGTTGAATAGGTGTAGCATAGGGGGAGTTTTAGGGATACTCTGTATGATATTTTAAAAGTGAATACATTACTATGCTTTTGAAAAATGCAGAAATTTACAGCAAAAAGAATGAAACAATGCATGAAAACTGTAATAAAATCATTCAGGAGGGTGGAGAAATCAGAACGAAATGCACAAAGTGACAAAATAATCTAACTATATTATAGATGTATGAAAAGACCTCACTGAATGGGATCAGGGAAACAAATGCTGACCTAAGGAACTTTGGAAATGAGCGGATTCTGTAAGAATAGGCAAAAGAAACTACATAATCATTATACTCTAGTTGATAAAGTTGCTTCCTTTGGGGATATGGATAAATAATTCTGATTCTGCTATATATACACACTGGAATTGAGCAACAAGGCAAATGGATGGCAGAAGGAAGGAGCTAGATTTCTCACTGTTGCAGTGGGAGGTTACAGGTAAGGAAATGGAAGAGGCTAAAATGATCCACATGGTAATGAATCAGAGTCAGTATAAACTCATGTTTAGCTTACCAAAGATACAGATGGTTACATATGAAAATATTAATAGATATGAGTATATACAGTGGTTAGTATGGACACATATATTTCCTGGTTGTGTCAGCTGAGGGGCCTAAACGTGGTAACACCCTAGTAATAATGAACAAACCTAGCACCAGATCTTGGCTCCTAATATTGTTCCTCAATAAAGGGAATCAAGTCTCCTTGAAGATGACTGAATCCAGGACTGGGACAAGGAATATACATTACAACAATAGCTTGTAGCATCTTACACTGCCAGAGAGTAAGAAAGTATTGAAAAAACAAAACAATGGATGTATGGCAACAGGACAAAGGAGTCATCTGAAAAATTTCTCAATGCCAAAGGTGGAAAAATTCATGCAATAAAATAAAGTAGTATCGGATTATAGCCCAAAGTATAAAGGAAACATCCATGAGTCTACACTGATATACATAATTTATTGAATAAATGAAGAGATGAATCTCTCATATAGAAGAGTTTCAAATAATTGCTGTCGATACTCCAGCCTCAAGAAAGTGCAGCTTAATTCCACACTAACTAAGTGTGAGCTGCACGTAGAGACTTCTTCCATGCTGTACAGTAAGGAAAGGGGGTTAAAAGAGTAACTTCTAAATGGAGAAACCTGACAAACACTACTTGAACCAGATGATCAAGGTTCTCATCAACAGTGATGTCATGTTGGTAGTATGTCCCCTTGATATAACACGATGATAATGGCACTTGGCCTCTGTGATCTTCTTTCCAAAAACACACAACCCCAATCTAACCATGAGAAACACATCAGACAAATCCCGGTTGAGGGACATTCTAAAAAATACGTGGGACTTCTCAAAACTTCCAAGGTCATTGACAAAAGGAAAATTTGAGAAATTGTCACAGCCAAAGGAACCTAAGGAGACATTACTAAATGTAATGTAGTGTCCTGGAACAGAAACAAAAAGACAGGTAAAAGCCAAGAAACTCCTTATAACGTGCAAACTTTAGTTAACAAGAATATATCAAAATTAATTGTATCAAATGTGCCACATTGATATAGGATGTTAATAATAATAGGGGAAATTTGATGTGGAGTATATCAGAAATCTGTACTATCTTCGCTATTTTTCTAAAAATCTAAACTGTTCTAAAATAAAAATTTTATTTAAAATTAAGAATAGCATAACCAACACGCAATAGTATACATTCACAAGCGTTAGTCAATTTTGTGTCCATCTCTGTTTCTATTATGATGTTACTAGATAGTTTTTGAAGAACTTACCTTTTCAATATGCTGTTATTACACCTAGTTCTTTATAAAATTGCCTACCATCTCTTTCAAAGCAGCAGTTCATAGTCTGGGAAGACTAGTGTCCTTCATGCTTTCCCTAATAGGAAGATGTCATTTATATTGCATCTGAAAAGCGAGATGGATTATCACTGATTGTCTTTCAGATTATCCATATGTTGAAATGAAAGTCTTTTTATTGCAATAGGACACACAGTACTATAGGGCAGCGTAGCAGAAGCTGTAGGCACAAAATAAGGTCTGTCAAACCTATTCTCAATTATTATAATGCAACTATTAATAACAATGCTACATTTTAAAAGATGAGAAATTGAGACTAATGTTAATCCAGCTGTGACAAAGAGGCATAAACAAGAACGGTCACAGGTCAAGTGGAACACTCCTGGGTAACCCTGTACTTGCGATCTCCCTACTTTTTAATTAGCATAATTAGTGCTAGAAATGGGCTTTCATTGGCAAAGTCTGCAGTATTCAAAGATATGTGAACTGCTTAAAATATTACAGGGACCTTTTCCATCTCACCTGAGCAAACTTTAGATTCTCTAAGGTGTGCTTGAAGCTTGATCTCTAAAGGGCTGTTTGTCCAACACGCGGTAGGATTCTGGTCCTCTAATGCCGACTACGAGAGTAAGAGAGTCCTTTCTGCGAATAGCTTTACAAAAGCCTCCATGAAAACTTTCATGCAAGATGTGGGAACATCTCCTAGGAGTGAAGAGAACCAGAACTTCATCAAGCTTATATACCAGTTCATAAAACTGTTTTGTGTTTGCTGGCTAATCAGGGTTTGTTTAATAAATATATGCATGTGTAACAGAATCTGGATGAGATGTGATTTCACTATAACTTGTGGTAAGGTTGTGGAAAAATAGCTGACCTACCTTGAAAGAGAACCAGCAAGGTGTGCATGATCAAGATGGCTTAGGTTGTTTATAACAATGATTTTAATGATGTTTTCCATCACAGTAAATAACATACCAATATATTTGAACATGAGATTGTGCTGTTAAAATATCATACATAGAGTTTCAAGAGTAGAATTACAAATATCATTGGAATAAAAGTCTCACCTACTCATAATATAGTGCCTCAAATCTTACGTATAATCCCAGTAAAATACTTGTGATCTTCTTACAATATATGTGCACAACTTAATTTTTGCATTAAATACAGTAGAAAATACTCTAGTATACTTGAAACCTTACCCAGAGTTGTCATGGAGCAGTTTTCACATTTTCCAAATATGGACAGGTATATGACAGTACAAAAGGTTATGGAATTCTCAAGTGCTTAAGATTTTAATTCTTCCTACTTCAAAAGTCTTTTATTCCACTCTCAACAATATCCCTTGGAAATTGGCATAGTACATTTTCAGATATTAAACAAAAGAGTGGTGCTACAAGACCTCCCTAAAGTGGATGTCTAAAATCTTGAATTGTCTATCAAGGCAAAGCACAGAGGATTTTTAGGGCAGTGAAAATGCTCTGTATGATACTCTAATAATGGATACGTCATTACACACGTGTCTAAACCCACAGAATTTAGAATACCAAGAGTGAACCCCAAAGAAACTATGGGCTTTGGTGGATTATGTGTTGATGCTGGTTGATCAGTTGTAACATATGTACCACTCTGGTGGGGGAATGTTGATAATGGGGGAGGCTATGCATGTGTGGGGGCAGAGAGTATAGGTGAAATCTCTGTACCTTCCCCTCAATTTTGCTGTGAGCCTAAAATTATCCTGAAAAATGAAATCTTTAAAATTAATTTAAAAAATTATCTATCACAAGTAGGCCTGCCCAAGTGTAATCAATCAGATTCATCAAATGTCATATTGATTGCCTACCATATGCCAGATGATGTTCTAAATGAGGTAGATATAAGGATGACTAAAGCTTTGTCTATATCTTCAAAAAAATTATCTATCACATTTAAATTCTAAAATAGTACAATTTTTATAAAAGATCACAATGATAAGCTAAACAAGTATAGGTAAAATAATGTTGCTAAACATAAAGTCCTCTTTGTTTAAACCTTCAGTCAAAATTTAGCATATGAGATCAAGGCATTTATTACCCTGAAAATGAAATTATTTGTATTTTAAGAACTGAATTTCAGAGGGTCTGTGGAAGACATTTTTTGGATCTAGTGAAATATATAATCTCTGAAGAGGTGCTTTTGGTATAGTGATGTCCCCTTCTCATCCAAAATTCCAGTTATAAATGGAGATGACTACCAATTCTTAGGAGGTTTGTCATACGCCCACTTAAAATTCTTCTAATAGCATAAAACTAGTCAACTTTGGACTGTTTAAACCTACTTAAGACAACCTACTTGGAACAAAGGTCATTTTAGGGAAAATAAGTATTTTGCGGGACTCACTTTTTTCATTCACAATTAAAGTAATATTTTTGAGTCTCATAGGAAAATTATATTTTAGCAGTACAGATTACTTTACGCAATTACGCAATAGCATGTCATTGAGGAAGTCTGTGCTATATTTTACCCAGACAACAGAATGTGAACTTTTTCTCTTTTTGAGAAGTGGCTCCCAGGAAGCCGTTTTCTAGTATATCCCCTATTTAGAGTTCCAAAGTTCATAAAAAATATCTTTCCCAGCATTATTTGATTTTATCTTTGAGGGAATCTTTTGAAACAGATTTTGTCATGGTCTCCACTTTATTTATGGAAAAACAGAGGCTCAAATGGTGACTAGTTCATGGAAACTGCAGAATTAAGGTTTCTGCTAAGTGTATTGTCCTCTGCACCACATTTACTGAGTTCCAATTGTGTACTCATGGTGCGTCAGCAGCCCTAGGGATCAGAGATAAAAAAGACGTGCTACCTGACCCTCCCACAATCCAGGCCTCTCCATCCCATAGTTAAGGATACAGTAGTCTCCCCTTATCTTCCAGGGTTGTTCCAAGACCCTCAGTAGGTGCCTGAAACCATGGATAGTTCCAAACCCTACCTATATGTACTATGTTTTTTCCTATACGTACATATCTACGATGAAGTTTAATTTATAAATTAGGCACAGTAAGATGGACAATGACTAACAATATAATAGAACAGTTATACTGCAGTAAAAGTTATGTGAATGTGGTCTCTCTCTCAAAACATCTTATTGTACTGTACTCTCTCTTCTTCTTGCAATGATATGAGATGATACAATGCCCACAGTGATGAGATGAAGGGAGGTGAACGAAGCAAGCATTGTAACTTAGCATTATTTTCCAACCAGGATTGACCAGGGGTAAGTGAAATTGTGGAAAGTGAAACCGTGGATAAGGGGCAACTAATGTATTATTCACACTGGGCTGGGGCAAGCACAGAGGCAGGACACTGTGCAAGAAGAAATAACACCAGCTCCTTCAGTGATCCTCAGGCCAGACCACCAGAGAATGCTTGCTCTTTCACTATCTTCTAGTGCGCAGATCTCTGCGGTGCTGGTGTAGTGGCCCCATCCTTTCCATGTGGCCATCCTATTTTCATGCTTTAGTTCTATGCCCGATGATGTATGCATGCAGATCCCATGGGACAGCCTTTCTCCACCAGTATTCCTGGCGGATTTCAGCCCTATTCTGCCATGAATAGTATAACTAATATCATTCAAGATGCCTAAGAAAGAAGAGAATTCATTACGCACAATGGATAACTTAGGGCCTTATCGCTGAATTCTCTCCCAACTCTAGTTGAGAAGAGGAACAAGTGTAGATTCTCTGTTCTTCAGGTGAGGTGGCGTCAAGACAAGCTTGGGCTTATCTTTTTCTTTTCTTTTTATTTGTACATGTTAGGACAGGAAAAAAAAAATGAATACACATTTTTAAAAAGCTAGATGTGGTTTTGAAATGGCAAGATTCATATGAAGGAAATGAATATGTCTGGAGAGTTTTACAAATCTATTTTATTTCCTTTTTAGCTATCCTGTGTGACACATCCTATTTTATAAGTGTTCCAAAAGCATTGCACAGAACTATATTCTGTTCCAAAAACATTGAAAACTCCCCTCAGGCAGGAACTTGTTCTATTTCTTTATGCCCTCTGATGGCATATGCAGAACCACATTCTGGCCTTTTGCACGGCACGAGTTGTTCACAGACTTGCCTGATTTGGTTTTATTCCAAAAATTAGTCTAAATAATTAATTAGATATTTATAATGGCAACATTATTATACCTGATAATTGTGCTCCAATTTTCCCATGAGGAGTGTTGCTAATGCTAGAAGAAACAGTTTTGTGATAAATGTGCAAGTTGTTTAAAAACAGCTCTGGCTTAAAAACAATGGCAATCTTTGACCCAACAATTATATTTCTGGGAATGTATCCTTAGTAATTACTCATGAATGTTTTAAAGAAATATTTAGAGCAGTTAATAATAAAGAGAGTGTGATCCTATTTTGTCAAAAAACAAAATATGTTTTAATTTTTTGGTATTATTTGAAGTTTTTACTGTGGGCGCATGCATGAATAAAATAACAAAGATGTATCTGCCAAAATATTGCACAGCTTTGCTCTAAATGGTGAATGTTACACGAGGTTTTAATTTTTATCTTAAGCTTCTCTATAGTGATCATTTTTTCTTCAATAAGTTTGTTACATTGTCGTTAAATAATAAATAAATAAATGTTATATTAAAAGTTTGAGGTTATATTGAAATTCTGAGAAGGCCAAATTATATTATCACGGTTACAGAAATAAGAGATGGACGGGGTCGAGTCACCGTTCCTAAATTCCTTGCCAGCAGGATTCAGTATCCCTGACCCGGGGCCGGTCAGCATCTGCTGGAATTTCTTCCAGTGAAAAACTTCACAAGCTTGCTCTGTGCTCATGGGCTACGATTTTGATTATGATTTACTGTGTGAGAGAATTTTCATCCAGTAGAAACCACTGCATCTGGGGAGGATCTCGGAAACTGATTATCCCAATACAATTTATAGAATTGAAGTTGAAATGCTTTCATATAAGCCAAAAGATAGTAAAATAATCAAAAGCAATTTTAGTAACCCACTTTTGGCTTTTCCACCAAGTTCAATCACAGATTTTCACTCATTGGCATATAAAATTTGCTTGATCTTTAAAAGAGTTGATGTAACTACTTAAAAGTTGAATAGGAGAGGGTTCAAAAAGTGACTTTAATAGAAATGACCAATTTACCACAACTCTGATTGTAAAATCCACTGTTGGACCATGACTGCTACTTAAAGTGCAGAGGAAAACATTGGTAGCTTCAAAGAAAACGACATGAAAGAAATAACCCATTAGTCTAGCTGCCTGGTAATGCATTGAGGGAAATCACAAATTAAACAAGAACTGTTAAGAAAACTATTGGAAACAATTGTAACCAGGAAAAAAAAAAAAGGTTACTTCAAAGAGAGTTGCAGAAATACACTTTAAGAAATCAATGGTTTGGTGAAGTTGAATATTTTATTGGAGAAGGTGCTAATTAAACAGACATAAAAACAGACACAAAAGATTAAACAAGAACTATTAAGAAAACTATTGGAAACAATTGTAACCAGGAAAAAAAAAAAGGTTACTTCAAAGAGAGTTGCAGAAATACACTTTAAGAAATCAATGGTTTGGTGAAGTTGAATATTTTATTGGAGAAGGTGCTAATTAAACAGACAGAAAAACAAATGTATGCATATATAAATATACATATATGTTATACAAAATGGAGTTACGTATATTATATAGAAAAT